CGAAGGTCAAAGGCCTTGTATGCGGCTATCGTGGCACTGCGGCGAGGCTTGGGGGCCTTCGAGTCTTGTCCCGCGGAGTCCTGTTGTCCCATTCTCTTGAGACTGCGGCCGGCCACGACCTGAAATAGCGCTGGGCACTGCCCTGAATGGGTCATGGAATTCTTAGCCTTGCTGTCACAGAACTGACAGGGCTTCCGAAAAATTGATGCCAGGCTCTTGCGTGTGCTGATTGCATCTGCAGATACCTGGGCCCAGGCTTGCGCGTGTGAGCTTCTCCAGTGCGGCTTCACCCGAGCTCCGCTAAGTAGAACCTGACCACACAGAGCAGAGCGTGATTTCAGCGCCAAAATTGAAGCGGCGTACTGGTTAAGCTCCGAGTTCAGTGCCGAGTAGAACGGTGCTCCATCCGTCAGGAGAACCTTGTGGTCAAAGCGGTCTTTAATGGCTTCAGGAGGCTGTGGAGGGTGCAGGGCATGTGCCTGCTCTGTCTGCACATAGAGCTCGTCCATTCTGATTCCACTGGCAAAAGCAGCCTTCACCGCCAGACAGCCCCCCATGGTAATGTGTTTCTTCAGTGATTGCCAATCGCACTGCAACTTTAAACAGAACTTGCACATAGGAATTCCGAAAATCGAGTGCCTGGGCTTAACATACGTTACCTTGGCATTCTCATGCGTCTCCTTGTGCTGGCTCTTTATGTGCATCACCAAGCCGGCCTCCGAACCAAAATACAACCCACATACTGGACCTGCAATGTCTGTGGCCTGCGTGTGGAGCTGTAGACCACTGCCTTGACATAAGACTGTGTCACGGAGATTGCAACATATCCGCTGAGCTCCTTGCCTAATGGGCCGAAGCACGCTGTCGTCACCTTCTGTATGCTCATCAACAAACTTTTGTGCGCGAGCGAGCAGTTCATCTGCAGGGTTCAGCTGCGCTGCTTCAAAAACTGCGGTGTTGCTGACGCCATGTTGACACAGTCTCTGGATTTTTCGAAGTTGACCCGCAACAGTGCTACAGACATGACGCAAAGCCCTCGAATCAAGCCCCAGGCCCAAAATGCCATAGGCTATTACCGGCCAAACACAAGCACGATAAATTCTGAGCCTAGCAGCTCTCGAGATCACTGCCCCGGTCCGGAATACCTTGTGCAGGCGAGCATACGCCACCTGAGCCAACTTGCATCGATGCTTAGCCGATTGGAGCTCGTAGTTCCCATACGAAAGCATGACTCCGAGGTACTTTATCTCATCCTTTATCGGGATATGGACACTGCCAGCTGCAAGATCAATACGAAGCTTGGAAAGACCATCTCTTCTCTGAATGTATCTCTTCTTCATCCTGTCTGCTTCCGTCCCCTTAAGGCTCAGCACTGCCTCAGATTTTGAGTGGCTCACCGTCATGCCCATGGCGTCCAAAGTCTGAAGGACCACTGCGATCTCGCGAGTCGCCTGCTCCAAATCGCGCTCCCCTTGAATCTTCCAGCGCAGAAACTTCAACATTAGCCCGCCAATGAGCTTTGGCTGCTCTGCACCCGAAAGCCTAGCCGTTTGGGAAGTTGAAGTGCCCTCCAGTAGCCTCCTTACGTGATGGCAGTGATTGCCGGCTCGTGTAATGGCACCCAAAGTAGAAACCCCTTGCCGATAAGCAAACTGTACTGAGCCCTCCAGTGCCTTCATAATGTAAGGGGCTGCTTGTGCCTTTAGCAGTACCATCAGCGCTTTAGTGTCAGCTCCCATTAGCCCGACTGTTCTCAAATTTCCAGGAGTGCTCGGCGTCTTGCCAGGCTTAGGTAACCAAGCTAACTGCGGGTGTGGGCCTACTGCTGCACAAAGTGGCCTTGCAGATCTCAGCGAGACGAGCCGATGCCACACCGGACCAAGCCTGTCTGTGCCATGTCCTTCGGCACGGCTTTCCCCCTCTTTATTTTGTGAAGTGCCCACTGCCAGGCCTGCTGCCCAAATTGTTCTTCAGGAAGAGGGAGCAAGGGTGGCAATGAATGAGATGTGCCAGCAAACAACTCGGCAGCGTACTCATGCAACATTTCCCCTTCTTGAGCACGAGTGAGCATACTCCCATGCTGGTTCCGAAGCTTAATTTTAGGCGTAAAGGGCTTAGGGGAGACAAGACGGGCAAAACCATAAAACGCCTTGCTATCGCCATTCCTGGCAGCGTCCTCCATGGACTGAAGGCCAGAAAGAAGTTGGTCGCGCTTCCTTTGCCGGCGTGCCCGCTTGAGCTCCCTGTGAGCCTTGTGCGCCACTGCCGCCTCCCGCGTGGCCCGAAAACAGACCCGGAGCATTTGTACCCCATTGCCGGCTTGCCGCAGACGCTTCCGAATTCGCCAGCGTGCCTCGATGTGGCTCGCGACTGGCGTCAACTCAGGCAGACGTAGCTTGCTTTCCCGACGAGGACAGTAGGACCTCATCTCCTCCCGTAACTGCTGGACCGCCTCGTCATGTCCAGAAACTGCTGGTTTCCCCGGTTTCCCCCTCCATGTCTTGACACGCTGTGGGGACTTCCATGATGGGCGCCAGGACTCTCGTAGGCTGCAAAATTTTGGGCAAATGCCCTGCACTCCGCCATGCCGCTAGACCAGCTTGTCTCGGTCCAGACCTTTTGCTTCTCCGGTCTGCTATGGCTTGTCTAGTGATGAGGAAGTCAATCTGCGAGTTCCCTGTGGGGTGCTCGTATGTAGGCTGTTTACGGCTCCAGCTGTTGAGGACCACCAGCCGATGCCTAGCCAGCATATCAAGAAGATGCCCACGCTCCTGCACTGCATCGCGAGACTGGGACCCTTGCATGACCCCACTTCCAGCAACCGCTGCTCGAGGCTCTAGACTTGTGTTTAATCACCAGAAGCGCTCTAAAAGGTATTCCCGAAACAGTTCTGTCCAGAGCCTTCCAGACCTGCCGCCGCTGAGAGAAGAGCTTCGTCGTTTCCTCAGCTGTCCTATTGGTCATGGCATGCTGATAAACTCCCAGAATCTCCCAGCACTGCTTCCCGATCTCCGCTCGCACCCGGAGAAGCCTCCCTGGGATAACTTCCTGCCAGCAAACTTCCGAATGGGAAAGCAGGTCCTTTCTCAACGCCACCATGACTCCATCCTGTTGCTTTCGCTCGGAGGCAGAGTGCACTATCTGCCACCCGCCAGAGCACCACTCTCCAGATGTTGTCCAGTGCGTCTCCTGGATGATTGCAACTGCAATATCACTGCTTGTCTCCAGGTAATGCAGCAGCTCAGCGTACACCTCTGTAGACATGCCACCAGCATTCCAACAGAACACTCCTCGCCTGCCAACATCAGGAAGCGGGGCTCCTTGGCCAGGCACGCGAACACGCTGGCCACTCGAATAAATAATTCTCCCTTTATAGACAGCACTTCCGTGCTTTTCTGCTCTTCTCATCGCTCTTTTGTAGGCCCGTTTGCCCACCTTCGAGCATTGTCCCATCCGACTGCGTTCCCCCTTGTTTGCCAAAATGGCTTCAGACGGTACGGAGGAGATCCCGTCATACCGCACGCCAATGTCTGCATTCAGCGATTGCTTAGCACCACCTTTCAGACATCCCCGGACTTGGGACCGGGCCGAGCAAAAATTTGTTGAAGTAGCCTCACTGCCAGGAGTTGCCGATGTTCGGCACGCTCCAGCCATCATCATCGCCTGTGTGCCAGGGCTACTCTCTGTTGTCCGGGGGCAACTAGTACTGCACCCTGAACCCAAACGCCGCAGGCCATATGGCCCTGAAGCTGTCAGCTCTGCTGGCCGCGCTGTCAAGCATGCCAGCTCGCATCTCGGTGTCGTGCTGAGAATGGGGAGGTGGGTCTATGCTTGCACGCCCCGTATTGCATCCCAGCGATGTTCTCCGAACTTCTGTGGGAATTGTGGCAAAAAGGATGGGGTAGTGGAGCTTGCAGAAGCCCAGGATTCCAGTATCTTCTTCATCCAGTATGAAACGTATATCCCTCAGGATCACGTCCAGAGTGCTGTTTTTCCAGAACGCAACTGCTAGCTGATCGGCGTAAAGCCTGCTCTCTTCCCCGTATCCTTCTCCAAGCAGAATGTCCCCAATTCTCTCCCTTATCACACACACCACATGCTCCATTGGCGTGAAGTTCATGGCAGCAAGCGCATGCCCTCCCCTTGAACCGCTCGTGGCGCTTTACTACTACTACTACTACTACTATTACTACTACTACTACTACTACTACTACTATCGTTACTAATGATACTACAATGGGCGGAGGTGGCAGTATTTTCGGAAGTTTTGGGCTGCGTGCGGACCCTCTTTATCCAAAACAAATGTTTTTTGTGAGTTGTTGGTCCTGTGCACGGATTCAGAAAATGGTTCGCAGAACCTCAAACCCTAAGAGCCCTAAACCCTGAATTCTACGTGACAGTCCTGATCACCTTAAACCCTGAAAGTCCCGAATCCTAAAACCCCTAAACCCCAAATACCCTAAACACCTTAAGCACTAAAAACACTGAAAACCTTAAAAAATATGAGCCCTGAGAAACCCAAACCCTAAGCACCCTAAACCCTAAAAACTCTAAACCCGACAAAGCCCAACAACCCCAAACCATGCCAGAGCATGCAAGAAAAAAGGGTGAGCAAAGCGCATTCCCCACGAGTATTCTTACAGCTATTAGTACTAGGCTTACGCAACCCACAAAAAACGGTGGCTTTTGTCCAAGCCCTGGCTTGCGAACGATTCCTCCAAACTAAAAGACAGACGAACATATCAACACAATACAACAAATCCTAAGATGACGTGTGTCCAAGAGATTGGAATTGAACTTAGACTGAAGGTCGGGGGGGGCATGTAGGCATGCTTGGTTTCTTTCACAGTCCGAGCTAACGAATGTCCACAGGGATGCTCCACTTGTACATGTTCTGGAATTGGAGGGCTGTGTGTGAGGAGGCAAAACTAGCCGGGCGTTTCAGACAACCATACATATCACTGCTGCCGCATGCCTGGCTTTGCCATGTGTCCTTGCAGGACGATTTGATGATGCTTTGGACGACCCGACTCACAACACGTGGGACGCTGTCCTAAAGTCAGGAAAATTCAAAAGCAAGCGCGACTGGGCGTGGTTCCCAGATGAGATTGTTGCATGCGTTTGGAGTGCTCGTGCGAGCAGGATGATGGAAAAAGCCTGCCCAGGTCATGAGCTTCTACAACATCGCTCACACGATGGATGGAAACCCCCTCTGGCCACAGCAGATGACGGACTTTAGTGTCTACTTCAAAAAGGACAGGACGGGGACCCCTAGCAGTTCCTGGGCTGCCCCAGACAACCGAGTTCTCCGTCATGCTGTACTGGGTCTGGCAACTCCAAAATGAGCTCGGCCAGGATGAGTGGGATGATCAACTGGAGCGTGCTATCGCTTTCCATCTCATCGGCGCTCACAGGCTTGAATTGGTAGTTGTGTCGAGGCTTGGCTTTGAGCATGAGAACAGCCAGGCTGGAGGTTGGCTCCTTCTCCTTTGAGGACGTGCCGGGAGTCGGTAGCGTGCAGCTGCCCTTCAGGACGCTCAGCTCTCCTGGAAAGTTGCCGTTGTCTTGTTGTGCAATGCGAGTTGATACGGGTTGCAAGTCCACGAACAGGGAGGCAGCATCCGGCACAATCTGACAAATTCTCTGACAGCAGAATTCCAGCGTGATCCCCTCAGAGGCAGAGCAGCACCAGCAGCTGTCGCAGTCAGGATCGGAATGGTTGCCAAAGCCATTGCGCAGAGTGGAATTCAAGTATTTACTTGTCATGCTCTAAGATTCTAGCAACTACACAGGCGACATCCGCAGACATTGCTCTTCATTTCTCCGATGCGTGATCTGTGCTGCCGTAGAGGTGCATTTGTGGCACAAGTGCTGCTGGTCTCATGTTCAACATGCTCGCAATCTGTGCAACACACGAAGGTCATAAGGCTGCAGGAGTGTGGGAAGGTTGCAGGCGATTTCCCAGTATGTCGCAGCAGCCAAATCTACGCAGCTTTGAGGCGCAGCGCAAAAACGTGGCAGTAGCCAATGGGCGCAGAAGACACTCCAACTCTCAAAATGACGCCATCCCCACTAATAAGAAACCCGCCAAAATAGTACCTTTATGCGGGAAATGTGTGTTGCCAGGATGCGAGGCAAAGCTGGTGCAGTTGTCGCATTTGCCCTCGAAAGGCCTGTCATATGGACCCAGGAGTTGAGACTGCTCTAATGCGCATGCCTAGTTATCTTTCCGCCTAAAACTTAAAGGAAGACCTCACGAGGGGTTTCTTCCTGCAGCCCTGAGCCCTACGCCAGGGAAGCCCGAAGCTCCAAATCCAAATATCCAAGCCCCCATGCTATGAGTACTAGTTGAAAGCTCATACGTTTGCAAGGTTCTCGAGGATTCTCGAGGTAACCACCCACTCTACCCAACGACGAAGAAGCACAAAGCACACAACCAAAATGTCAATTGAGTTGCCTGCAGCAGCTGCCGTGATGGTGCAGTCAGCAGCAGCATACGTCCGCCTTGATAGCGCCAAAGTCAACTATGCGAGAAGACAAGGTATGACAGGCAAGGTCAAGAAGTCATTGCACGTGGCGTACTTTTTTGTTGTGCCTTACCAAAGCTTTTGCTCACAAAGTGGACTTCTCCAAGGATAGCATTGAACGTTTTCGGCGGTTTAGTGGTCCGCGACGGCTTTGGCAAATATGGCGTGGACTTGCCACTTGGCATGATGGCACGTAGTTTATCCAGAGCCGTCATCGAAGGCGGCGTGAAGCCTACATTACTTGCACGGCCAGTTGCAAGTTGCAGCGGGTCGCAGTAGAGCCTTGGCATCGCCCAGGTATTTCAATGAAGGCGCCAAGCTCTCTTGTTGAGGACGTACTGACCCGTTTAAGATTACATGCTGTGGCAGCGGACTGCTAATGCTTGTTTAGGATCATTTAGGGCTAGGTGTGCAGGTTTCTATTGCTGAGTTGAGATGACCTCGCAAGTGCTCAGATGGGCTGCCCACCCTGCTGGTCACGCCGGACGGTGACAAAGCTCGTTGACTGCAAATCTCGTTTTCGCTCTCCATTTTTGCTGCCTTTCGCCGAGGGGCATTGTCTGAGGTTGCACGGGGCGACAAGCAGCAATGAACTTGGGCAATTTGCACTGCTGAGTGCATCCAGAAACCTTGTACGCCCAAGCAGTTCTGATCAACTTGCGCAAAGGTGGCAGTATTGGAAGTTTGTTTGGAGAAGTACTTTGGTCACAGGCATCGACTGCTGTTCTGGTCATTGCTCTGTGGCCTGCGAATTTGAGATGTCGAGGCGTCACTCTTGTTGATCATCTTCACTTCACGCACTTCAGGATCCCGGTGCCGCATTCATAGTCCAACACAAGAGCAAGTGAGTAAAGTGTAAAGATCCGTCCAGGACAGGCAATTTATTGTCCCGATCAATTCGAGCCTTGGAACATGGCTGGGGGGCGTACATGTCTTTGTTTTTGCCATTTGTAGCAATGGAGCGTCTTGCTTGCAGGGTGTAATTCATGATTCAGGAATTGCCCTTCCCCCGGATCATCCACATCGTCGCCTTCTGTCAATTTTCACCTTTGGCACTATCTTCGTGAATATCCAGGCTGGATGCATAGCAGAGCACATGACCCCGCATGGCACATAGGAAACACGTTTTCATGATTCACAAAGCGCGCCACAGCCAAAGCCTCCTCCAAGGCAGTGCACGTGCTACTGGGTCCCTGCCTTGCGCCACATCTTGCGTGCTCCTGCTCCTGTCCCTTGGATGTTCTGATCGATGGGATTGAGGTCCAAACCACTTGCTTCACCGGGCGACTCCCTTTTCAGACTTTGTGAAGCTGAGCTCTGAACTCAGGTGTTCATACCAGAACAACAGTTATGCCCCACATTTTGACAGCACACTATCTGATATTGTCGTGGACATGGCACTTTATGGATGTCGAGGTCACAAGGTCCCAGGGATGCTTGACGACATCACGGACGCGCCTTCAATCAAGGCGTCGTGCACAGCCAGGAATGCAGTTGGTAATTCAAGCTTCAGCCTCAGGCCATTGCAGAAGATGATGAATGGAAGTCGCCCATCCCCAAGTGACATTTTTTTATCCCCATGGCCTGACATGTAGCACGCAGAATTGCTTGGATTTGCGGCAAGGCTTTCTCCCAAGCTTCAGTCTCTGCCCTTCTATTCTGATGGCCGACTTCTTTGGGCAGCGATCAAGAAGCAGCCTGGCTTTGGCAGACTATGGTATCAGAATTAGTGACGGTGATGGAGCATGACTCGTTTGGCTTCGCCAGGTTTGTGGCAGCTGCATTCCCGCCTCTTGGTTTGCATGCTGGCACACCGTGAAGCACGATTGTCTAGCCGCTTGGCGCGGTGCTGAGGAAGCTAAGTCTTTGCTCGGTCAGACACACAGCTTTTCACGCACTGCTTTCAATCCGGCGATGGTGGCAAGATCTGAGTTCAAAGGCAGACGGCGCACTGGCCGAGCCCTTGACCAGACTAAAGATTGAGATGGTCAACGAGACTATGCAGGACTTGCTTCAGACCTGTCGGGAACCTGAAGTGTGGAGGTCAGCTCACATAGATCCCCACAGACCCGGCAGGCTGGATACCATGTGGATGACAGATTGGCAAAGATGTATTTGGGTGATGCAGCGGCAGCTTGGCTGGCTTGCATGTGCAGAAGCTGGATCTTCAAGCAGACGTCTTATTTTTCACAGGCCAAAGCACAGAGATTGGAATTACCGCTTGGAGAATTGCATAGAATTGCTTAAGCTTGACATGCAGCGAAATTCTTGAGAAGGCGCTGGAGGCACTGGTGGTCATAAGCATGTAGCTTTTACGCCTACAGGCACAACTAGGCTTCCTCTGCACAATCGCATAGCCACTACCAGGTCTCTTGCAAGGACCTCTTGCCCGCTGTGCAGCATCGAGTCCTGACCGCGCTAGCTAATTCGCAAACATGAGAGTGACGCAAGCGGCTTGCATCACGCATTGGGGCTTTGAGTCGTTCATGCGATTGCGAAAGGAATGGCAGTGTATATTTTCGTCGTTACCGGCTACCACCGTCACGTTGGATTTGTTGGGGACTATTATGCAGATCCCAGTTCCCCAGCTGCATGGGCATCAGCTGGAGTCCTGACTTTCTCATTTGATGTCCGGTTTGGGTTCTTTTGATTTGACACTTTGTACAGGCCTGGCCTCCATGTCCTGGAAGTCAGGGGAGCCATACGGCAGGCTATGCCAGAATCTGCCAGCACTCTTGGAGTTTATCGGAATATCTTGCGCGATACATGAAGGCCACGCCAGCACATGATCATGTCTGTGGTCAACGTCTTCACCTCGATGAGACAGCCTCTTTTGTGACCTGGACTCACCCAGAGTGGCTGTGCCTTGCTTCAACTGAGGGGCAACTTCCATGAGTAGTGAATCTGAGGAAGGAGGACTATACCCACCTCTTCCGTGGACTTGCGCCTGATCAAGAAGAGATTCTCACCAAGGCATGGAGGACTTTCCAGGAGGACTTGAAGCAGGCTGGAGTCACCAGTTCCAAGCTAGATACTGTGGCTGATGGTATCCAACTTCGTCCGCTTTGCTGTTCAGGTGGAAGAGGAGCGCAGCATAACTGGCTGCACTTCAGAGAGCGTCAATACCGCCCCTGAATAATAGTAGAAAACTTCGTTGTGGTACATTACAATAATAGTATACAGGGAATATTCAAAATAGGGGGGGTACGGGGGCTTTAATATTATGACCAGATGCCATTGGGAGTGAGTTTGTTTCTTGTGGCGAATCTGCAGGAGATCGATCGGAGGAATGAGAAACGTGAGATCCTGAACATCAACATGCCTGGCCCTTTTCAACCAAGCTGAGACGGAATGTAAGGGCCACACTTCCCGTGCACCAGACTTGGAGATGCCTAGGTCTCCAAAAGTTGTCGAGAGTGCCGTTTCGAAATGAGCTGTGGCGTTCCAGGACAGGATTCAGTGCTGGCCTCTTCGTGTTTTCCTCGCCAGCAGATGGTTTCGAACAACTGAAAACCAGTAGTTCAATTACGATATTACAGCTTCCGGCCAATTATTGTGGTGGAGCCTGTGCCGGTCGATGAATGGCCGTGTTCGACCTGGGGACGGCATCAGAAGGGAATGTCTGGGCGTTTCCTGATAGCTCGTCCCTGGGTTGGCATGATCGTTTCCAAATTGCTTGCAGACGCGACCCGAAATGAAGTGATTGCTTGAGATGGCGCAGAGGGGCAGCCACTTCCCTTCAAGTGTCAGCACCTTGCTGCCCTCAGTCAGCCAACTTCAGGTCTTGACCAAGCACTCCCTCATCGATGGCGATGCTACCCAGGCCGGATCAGCCATTTTCCCGTTGAAGAATGTTGTGCAGCTCTGCAGGCACATCAGCTGGAAAGCAATGACTCGTCTCAGCGCGATTTATGGGACAAGGCATCAGCATCTTTGGATCAATTTCGAAGCAACCCACTTGCCCTTGCTGCGGAGGTAGCTTCAGACATTGCGCGGGGCAGCCTGGTTGAGGCAGAGAACGGGACAGCCAGGTGAAGAATTGGAGGATGCCCGCTTGTCCTAGCAGGAGTTGAACTCGGCAGCATCGGGCGCCACCCCTCTGCCAGGCATCAAGGCCCACTGATGCTCGTGTTGAGCAGCGGAGCCTTGAAACTTGTTGGGATAGGAAGAGTTAACGCGCAGCGTCCTAGCCAGCACGGCCTGGCCCTTAGAGATGCTGGCATGCTGAATGACTTGCATCGTGCGTTTTCTTCTGAGCAGCAGTAGTACACTTCGAGGCTCAGATTTCCAGAGATCTCTGGAGCCCAGCCCCTGCCACAGCAAGGTTTAATTCTCGTCTGACATTGCCAGATGGGCTTTTTGCTCAAAGGTGGCAGCTGAAATTGAGTCGGGCAAGCTTCATGAGGTCAGAACCGTTGACTATGCATATTTGCAGTGCAGGGCTGCACCGATGAGTTTTGTCAGCTGAGACAGGACTTTGACCTGGCGCTTGCTAAAGCCATGGATACGCCAGTGCAGCTTGAGGCTGGCGAACGCAAACGCGATAAAGAGCGCGCAAAGTTAAGCATTGTCCCGCTGGCAGGCGTTCTCACCGCGTCTTCCGGCTATGGCCCAGAACATAGATGCTGCACACGGGAAAAGGCATCACGAGTGCATAGCCGCCTGCTGAGGAAACGCCCGAGTCCACGCCGCTGAATGCAAGCCGTGTAGACGGCTTAGCATATTTGCCGGCATTCAAATTCCAGTCGCCTGCCAGTCCGTTCCTGCTGTTCAACCCTCAAACGCTGCTGGACTGCCCGCAACCTTTTCAAAGAGAGTCGAGGACAATGGAGAGGTTGCGCACCACGAGGACAAGTTTCTGAATCTGGCGGCAACAGCCTGGAAGCCTCGGCGAGCTTGACATTCTTTTTACAGAGCTTGCCTGCAACCTTCTTCAAACCATGCGGATTATTTGGGAAGGCCAGGTTACAAGTTCACTGTTTGAGGGCCTGCAGGCAGTTCGGTTGGTTCTTTGTGTGTAAACAATGATCTGCAGCCCACGCGTCTGCTCAGATTTTCGAGGAAACATAGGGAAGTCTCGCCAGCGATATGGCGACGAACAGCCTGGCTTTCCTGCTCGCAAGGGGCGGGGCGGGCGGGGCCGCGGCTTCAGCCGCCTCTGCTGTTGCTGGACAGAGCCGGCATCACAGCGTGGCTTCAGCGCCAAAGAACCTTGCCGGTCCCGCAGCTTGGTCGGGCATCGTCGCGGCAGCTGCCGCACTTCAGTCCCGGCGGCGGACGCGGGGCATCCACAGCTCGAGGGTGTCGATGGGCGGCATGCTGCGGATGATCTCTAAGGAGGAAGCACTGCCCGGTCGAAGCTCTGAGATGCCAATTGCCGACAAGCACTTTGTGCTGGGGACCCCGATGAAGGGCCCTTGGCCAGAAGGCTCTGATATGTTCGTCTTTGCAAATGGATGCTTCTGGGGCAGCGAGAAGGGTGTTTGGAGACTTCCAGGCGGTGGTATCATCTCGACAGCTGTCGGATATGCAGCGGGGTTCACACCCAATCCAAGCTACCAGGAAGCTTGCAGCGGTCTGACAGGGTCGACAGAGGCAGTTCAGGTGGTCTTCGATCCTGAAAAGATTGGCCTTGTCGACATCCTTCGCTGGTTCTGGCAGGCACACGATCCTACGCAAGGCATGGGCCAAGGCCAGGATGGCCAGGACAACCTGAAGAGCTTGCTTCATAGTCGGGTTTAGAGTTTCTCCTTTGCCCATGGGCTTAGTTGGACACGTGACTCAGGCAACGACCGCGGCACGCAGTATCGTAGTGGCCTCTACTACTTCAATGAAGAGCAGAAGGAGATCTTCGAGGCAAGCAAGAAGGCATACGAGACGGCGCTTCAACAAGCTGGCCGTGGTCGGGGCCAAGTCACAACCGAGATTGCTTCGGCAGATGATTTTCCTGATGGCAAAGTCTTCTATTATGCAGAGGCGGGACTTGAGAACAAAGGCAGCTCCGCAAGCATTTTCACCTGAGTCCTAGCTCCGGGCCAGTTCTCGTCAGGACTACCATCAGCAATATTTGGCGAAGCCTGGAGCAAGACCATACTGCTCAGCTCAGCCTCAAGTTGTTGACCTGCCGGCATTCGAGACCTGGTGCCCCGAGCATTTGCAGGCACCACAGCAAGTGGATTCAGACTTCTGCAGAAGCACCAGTGTGAGTGACCTTGGCCTCAGGAGAAGTACAAGCCAAAGCTCAGCGAGGACTTTCACTGCAGATACTTCTATGTTTAGAGACAGGTGGGATTGCAGATGGTTGCTGATCTCAGCAGAGGGCAGGCTGATATGAGTTGCATGACCTGCGAGAAGGGCACATGCAAATCTTTGAAGGACTTTTGGGCACAACACGGTCCCCAGCCGCATTGCGTCATCATGTCGCCAAATGAGCCAATTGCATGGCCCTAGGTCCTGTGCAGAATCTCAGCCCTGCACTAGCCGAGACCTGCAGAAAAATTGAGTCGTCTTAAAGATTAGAGCCACTGAAGCAGTGAAACAAGCTATTTGCGCATGCGCGCGCATGGCCTCGGCGCAATTTTCAGCATCCATGCTCCACAAATCTCCGGACTGTTTAAATGCTTCGACTCGACCTGTCACAAACCAGTCGCGCAATCCAGCTCACGAAAGGGACGGAGCGTACAGCCAGACTCATAGTTTCGGCCGATTTTTTTGTCGCAACTTGGCCCATGCCAGGTCAGCGGACAATGTCGATAGTGCGAAATCGAAGGCTGTGAGTCATTCTTAATAACCAGTTGGGATTCAGCACGCCATGCTGAGACAACTCCTCACAGTTGGAGCTGTGCCACTGGCTGGCTCAAGTCGTTGCAGCTAACGGCGCATGGTACTGCAAGAGTAGCTTCCTGACCCAGAGCCATTACACAAGCCTTGTCCCACCTGCAGACATTGCGCGGGCATGTTGGATGGTGTCACGCGAAGTGGGCGTGACCATATGTGACCATTGACGCTTGCAGGCCATGTCTCCCTACAGCTCTTGGTGAGGTTTGGGTTCTGGGGCTTCATGGGCTTCACATCCTGCAGGCGATCCAGACTGAAGAGGGCACGAACATGGGCAGCTTGTACCGGGACTTCGTGCCGCTTGAACCACAGTAGCACTTTGTGTAGCGAAAGGGTTTTAACGAAATCAGAGCTAACAGCGCCTTGGACATCCCATTAACAGCGCCTTGGACATCCCATTCTTTCAGGCAGGCCACACAGCTGGCAGTGGACAAGGCGATCACCACGTACCAGGATTACTTCCCTCATGAAGCTCCCGAACCAGACCTCAAAGGCCCTGGCTCCCAGTCGATGTGCTGAGTGATTTGGTGTGACATTGTCAGGCCTGTTCCCGGTGGGGGTCAGCACGATGATCATGAAAGAGGCACTACGCCTTGAGCTGTCCCCAAAGTTTCAACTTTGCAGGAGACATCTTGAGAAATGTTGCAGGAAAACCTTTGCCATGATGCACATTGCCGCCTGCAAGTTGCCAAGAGAGTGCCCGTCGCGCTTTCTGCAATGATTGGCTGCATGCAGTCATGACAGCCTTTCCTTTGAAGTAGGGGAGCGGCGCTCGCTTGCACTCAGCGGCCTTGTCCAGGCAAAACAATTTCTTGAATGACAGAAACAGGAATATATTGGTAATGCAGGGATAATGGAGAAGAACATGGAAACTACTACATTATTATAGGGATATGATATGGGTAGTTGAGCCTACTTGCTCTTTAGGAGCTTTGGGACCATGCCAGGCAAGGGAGGCGACTATGCATTCGCTGTCGACCGGTCATAGCCCCAGCCTTCCGACTTGTAGCAAAATGGGACCCTCATTTTGGGAACTACCCAAACGCAGTGGACTACAGTGTGGAACAAACCGAAGGCTCCAGACAGATTTGGCTGAGGAGGTATGTGCTGAAAGAAATGAGAATCTCAAAACATATCAAAACATCCATTGCCCAATGGAGTGCGACTTTGGAAAATCAAGGCAAGTACGTGAAATGCTTGCTCGTGCAATCCTTGAGGAGTAGCAGCGGCCATGCACTGCACAGAAAGGCAGCATGCAGCCTTTCGTTCGCACAATTCGAGCAGAGGCATGAAGGGTTTCTCATTGCTAAGGAACGGCTTCCATTGGAAATGTGCCAAGGGCTCACTTGGGACAGAAGGGTGCTGATGCAAAGCAGTTGCAGGGGCTTTGTGCACACATCTGTGCACAGTCCCAGGTGAATCGCATGCAGATAGATGGCGATGCTCCCAGCATCCTGGTTGGGGCTCATTCTGTGAGATCTTCTGCTATAGGCGATTCCGGTCGCTATGATAACTGGGCATGCATCCCATTAGCATGCCTGGAGCCAAGCTTATCATAGTATAGGCTTCGATGTCGCCGTGTTCAACGCGCAGCAATTGACTGAGGCTTCAAGAAAGAAGGCAGCGTTGCAGGTTGCTCCGTTATTGCCTGAAGTGTTTGCACTGGCAGGGACAATCCTGAGAGGCTTCAAGTTCGAAGAAGACTGACACTCGTTTCGACAGCTAAGAATAGACACAGGGACAAGCATGTCATTGCAGCACATCGAGCTGATCTGAAGCTGAATTTGTCATCAAAGCATCCGTTTTGTGCATCGTTCATAGTAGCCTGTAAAGACAAGCAAAATGAGGCAAGAAACCTGCAGTCATTGTCAACGACGACGGCGCTGTCGTCAACGAAGCTCCAGAAGACGCGGAGGAGACCGTCTGAATTTGCTTGTCCAGCACAAGTAGAAAGGGGAAATAGTTTCGGAACAGTTCAGTTTGCACATGTTTGCACATCAGTTTTTGAAAGACCTTTGGGAGGATTGAAGCACCAAACACAGATCAAAACCATGTAGATCTTTCAAATGCTCAGTAGTACAACCTCGAGACCTGAAACTTTGAACAGGAGTCCTTAGCCCGGGAGACCTGAAGCCACAAGTCTAATCCAACAGTTCTTAAACTCTTAGACGCCAAAACATACAAGCTGAGCCTTAAACCTCAGCATGCCAACAAACAAGCCTGAAGTAAAGCCTAAAACCTTACCCTAGACTTACAGCTTGCGGCCTTGTAACCCCCTGCGGGTCAAAACCCACGCTTCAACTAGAAAACCTCTGAGCTACAAACTCTCAGATCCAGAAACCTGCAAGCCTCATGTGCTGAAGGACCAAAATGAGAAACCATGATTAAAGCTGAAAATAGGAATCCCCAACGCCGACAAAAACGTAACAACCCAGCTTAAAACCTGCCAAAAGCCAATCCTGCATTCAAGGGAGCAAGGAAGCCATGTTTTGGTGCCGACAAGCGCATGCCATTGCAGCGTGTCAGCAAATATCCGTGCCGACGCAAGGAGTATCCACCGATAGAGCTTCTGAAGCCGCCGCTGCGGCCGGTCGGCGCCTCATGTTGGTTGGCGAAGCATCCGAATATTGACAGCCTTGCAGACAAGACAGTCACCGTCCTACTTGATCTGCCCAGGATGAGATGGCTGTGCCTCCATCGCTCCTCGCACCGGGCCCAGGAAGCATAAAGCGCCTCATCCAGAACATTTAGGACTGCGTGACTCCATGTCACAGGTTTGCTAGAAACCTACCTTGGAGTGCATGTTGCTGCATCGCAAAACAAGTTGGTGCCAGAGATCTGGAGTACATAATGCCAAACCTGCAGCGCACAACCAGCAAAGCCCAGCAACTTCTCCTTGACCGGTCAAATCCTTCATGAGCTTGTCATGTTCGTCCGCTTGCCGAAAGCTGCCTTTGCCAGCTCGCTCTAGGTAGGAGGGGGGTTGCCGGGCCATGCCGGCCATTTGCGAGCAGCACCCATGGATCATTCCTTCGTTATTCCCTTATTCAGGACTGGTCAGATTTTCCTCAGGCCTGACAGCTACAGAGCCCGCCTTTCTCGCTACAAATGCAGAAAGAAGCAAGGGCACTTGGAAGAAGGATGAGGTTGCCTTTATTCAGCCTGCCGAAGAAGTGTCCAAAGAACAGGCACAGCAACCCTTCTCTTGTGCGGTGCCTCCGCTCGTGCGCTTGGCTGGCAAGGGGGATGCACAGGCAGTGGAGCAGCTGCTACAGCAGGGAGAGGACCCAAACTTACAAGATGAGTTGGGAATGACTGCCCTGCACTGCGCAGCAAAAAAGGGCTACACTTCTATAGTGGCATTGTTGATAAGGTATCATGCTGCAGTGGATGCAAGGGCTGTGAGCTGGAAGGGCGAAGCACCCATTCACTATGCCGTCAAATATGGGCAAGCGGACGTTTTGGAAATGCTTCTGAAGCATGGAGCTGATCCCAACATCCGGACGAAAGATGGCCAGAGACCCATGGACTATGCAGTGAAAGCCCACCGACAAAAAGCGTGCACAGCCCTGCTCGCAAAGTACATTTCTCAGAGCTAAGCTAGCACCTTCAGGATGCTTGGCGTCTGTGCCTTGCTTGCATTTCATTATTCATGAACACTTACATTTCAGGCCCATGGCGAGAGAGTAGTAGGACAGCGAAGGCCGCATGCTTTAGCAAGCCCACTGCGATGCCAGGACGCATTCAGAGCTGGAAGCATCCTTCGGTACATTTCCAATGCCAGTGGGGAGGCTTTGAAGAAAGCAGGTCATTGAGAACAGTGCCGAACAACAGCTTGTGAGCTGTACCTGGCATGCCTTGTTTGAACACTTCGATGCGAAATGCAAGGCATGTCGCGCAATCGTAGATGCACTTGCAGCTGCCAAAGTTAGAGTAGCGCAGGCCACATAAGAGATTTAAAGCATGCACGCACAGGGAGTCTTGAAAAGATGTACTGCTGTACATACCTAAATTAATGCCAGCCGCAGCACCCGATATCCTCAAACGCATTGCCGATCAGACAGTCTCGGTTGTGCAGAGGTCATTCGGAATTTTGCGCGTGCGACATATGCAGCGTGCATGTAACAGAAGAAGCCCTGTTTCACAACCTCGCGCAGGACCTCACGATTAGAAAATCAAACCAGGATTCCAAAGTTGCACCAGGAAATCTGTGATGGCTCCGCAGTCAGCACGCACTTGCCCAGGTCACACCGCCCTGGCAGTGGAGGAGTATGTTTGACTCATGTACTGTTCCATGTGTTACAATGAAGACCATGGAGGGCCTGCGTGGGACTACTGCAGGGATTCCTTCCCCCCTGTCCAATCAAGCACGGGTAACATTGAATAAGCGGATCTCGGGACTTGTAGCACAGGTTCTTGCGACGTGGGAGCTGCGAGCTGCGGGTGAACAGATGTCACTCCATCAATCTTCCTCACAGCTTCCAGTCCCGCGTATTGGCCTATTGTTTGTAATTTGCTCCATCGCGTGGGATCAGAGGAAGGGAAGGCCTCGGCCGGGGCTATGCTGGTTTCAGGTTGCCCTGCGGCGTTATGCAGTTTGCCAGGGTTCGCGGCTTTGTCGTTGCACGACGCGATTGTTCGACTGTCAATCTAGGACGGACCTGGGAACTCTGGTGGCGATACATAGGCTTCGAAGCACTTACAGCATTAGTCTGGAGACCAGCAGACGCCAGTTGAAGATGCTTGTCTCTTCAGGAGGCCCCATGAGCGAAGTCAAGCAGGGGGCCGTCGTGATTGCTGCTTCCTGTAAAAAGAATCCCTGCGATCATGCTCTCTGCTAACACAGAGGGGAAGAAAGCTACTGTAGTCAGTGCTGGAGCTTGTAGTAGTTAGTGCATCATGATGTCGCATCTCTTTGCTTGAGCAGGCAGAGCGTCAGTAAGCGAAAAATCGCTTGATTAGTGCTGACACATAGCAACGTTCTGGACTTTTTGGAATGACCCTGAACAAACTCTTGACGTTGTTCTCAGCTCAAGCTGCTTCAGGATGTTAGCTCAGCTTCAAGCATCGTGCCGCTTGCTGCCATGAGCATTCTATGTCGACACTGGCGTTGATTTGCAGCGGCCTCTTGTCTTACCAGGCCTTTCCAAGTTCCACAGCTTGGCAAGCCTCAGGACCACCTGACAAGAGTTCACCAGTCCAGTCAAAGCAAGCGGACGCCGTGCGCAGTTGCACGGGTGTAATGATCACTTTATTCATAACCGGATGCTGATGGCTGGCAGGGTGTGCCACGACGCTGCGCAGCGCTTCGCAGAACAGCAATGTCACTGCATCCATCGCCATCGTTTGAAGAGGCCCCGGGAGCTAACAGATGCGCAGAACAATGCGGCTTTGGGTTTGCGGAGGTGCTCCTACCTGTTGAATGCGAAGGTTCCGGACAAGAAACCCTTTTTTTCGTGTGACTTGACGAAGCAGTCACTCACGGTCACCTCTGGTTTGTGTGAATGAAGAGATCCAGCTTCTGAGGCATGGCTGGCCTGACAATGCGTCCGTTTGGCAGTCTCAAGTGGCACACTTCAAGAGCCAGTACTCTTGCTGCTTGACAGCTCGGGCATTGCTCAAACGCTGTTTCAGCTGCATGGCAGATCCAGTTCCATCAGGATATTTCTTGTAGGAATCCAAGGCAAGTGTGTGACGATGCCATTTTTTGCAGCGCGAGACGCGGACGGATGCCATCATCGCTCAGAGGCGCATCCATGATATAGAGTGGCATGGAGGCAGCAACTGCGGTTGACCGAGTGGCGTGGCGTGTGCTCTTTTTTAATTCTTGAGAAGAGTGACGAGGGCTATGACTTCGACCACCTGGCCGACCTTCTTGCTGACACAATCCGTGTCTTGGCCGCCATAGGACAAGTTACCCAAAGTCAGGCGCATGCATGTGCAACCCAAGACTACAAATCTTGAAGGCAAAGAGTGCAGCGAGCAGAAAGTCATCCTTGTTCTGCATGACTGGGGCTGCCTTTTGGCTGCGCATTCAAGCTGTTGCGGCTGCTCTTTGGCCTGCAGCGAAGACCGAGTGCAGAGGGATACAGAGGGCTTGCATGAGGCGTTTGGGGATTTCTGCTTCAACATCGACATCCAAGTTCCTTGGAAAAAGCTGGCAACACTCTGCCGCTCGTATAGCCAGTAGCAGCGTTTGTTTAAAGTTCCGCACATCAAGCGCCGCAGGCTTGGTGAAATCGATCGTTGCCCTCGATGTCGGGTATCCCTCGTATTTCAGCTGGAGGGACGTCCTATACTATTTTGTGAGATACCAAGCCTGGTTGATTGCCGCGTATCTCATATGTCGACTGACCACCCGTACACCACTCGCTGCTTTTGGTCGATCAGTTGGGGACCGAATGGCTCGGAGCCTCGCCCGGTATATCGACCGCGACGACGGTGAGCGCATCACGGCCAAGGCTGTTTGTAGTGCACAGTGTCAATCTTCCTGTCACACTCTTGAAAGTCTCCTGTCCGGAGATGCCCGTATGCCCACACGCGACGCTTGTAGGCTTGTTATCCCTACTTCTACTTCTTCTCAAACTTTGGCTGTCGATCTGCCCCTTCACTTCAAGAAGGCGTGGAGATGCGTGGAGTGTGCGTTACACTGGTGCTTATGAAGTTTCAGCTCTTTCTAAGCATCAAGAGCAGTTGTTGAGGAGATGTTCTGCCCAGCTGCCCCTGCTTGTTCATGCAACTCGGGAAATCGGCATCAGCTTTTGCCTCGAGCTTGACACTGCAAGTGAGGGCTGGTCTGTCGAGGTATGGACAGAAGTTTGGAAGAAACAAGCCATTCACGATCCTTGCCTTGACTTCAGCTAGTTCTTTATTTGCTGTCGTGCGTTTGCTGCCCTCAAGGTTTCACAAAGCTCGGTGGGCAGAAGAAATCAATGCACGTGCTGATAGCCTCGTCGTGCCTGTGAACGCAGGGCACTATTTGCAGGCCGCCTGGTAGGGCATAGGAGTCTGCAGAAGTCATTCCTGATCATGCAGGTAGAGGCAGCTGAGCAGGTCAATCACGCAATAGACAGATGGCTGCGACCGAGCAGCCTTGGGGGAAGAAAAAGCTAGCGTTCAACTGTGGCGCAAGCAGCTGCTCATTCAAGCATGATTGCTGTGAGTCAAACAGGGCCATGTCTATCAAAGTTGAATTGTTGGAGTGTCTGAGATGCTCAGCTGCATCCGGCTTGAGCTTCAAAGCAGGCAGCTTCTGCTCAAAGCACGAAGACGATAGAGGTGTCCCCTCCTTACAACTCACTTCAACATACACAGCTCTGCTGTGGTTATTCGTGAGTTTATGCAGACTCCAAATGACCAGGTCAAAACCTGCTACTCCGCTTGCAGGCCTATCTCCACTACACCGCTGGCTACCCGAGCATCTACTGTCACACAAGAGAGCAAGCGATGTCATGAAAGCCTGAGGTCCCAAGGATGTTGCCAAACTGTATGAGGAGGCACATGAAAGAAAGCCTCGGCAAGATTGTCTGTGAGTTCCTCGTAAAGTGCCAGTCAGATCTGAATTGCTACATGTGCTTGTGATGGCAGATGGACGCTGATGGTGATGGCCTCCTTGGTAGGGACGACTTGATGTCTTGTCCCCGGCAAGCTTGCCTGGCAGTAAAGCGCCCGCGAGACATGCTATAGTTGATACAGACCTGCTTGTGTGATTTTGGGGGGGCTAGAGACTTGCGGCATGAGAGGTCATACCTCCGAGACTACTTGGGCTACGGAGAGGCACATGCTTTACGATGCCTACTGCGCTTGACATTGCAGAACTGGCCGCGGGAAAAGTCTTCCAGCATCCAGTGCAGGCTGAGGTGTTGGCTTTCCTGGATGCTGGGAGCTTTGAGGATCCGATGTGTTAGAGCTTCTTCGTGTTATCCACCTCCGAGGCTCACCAGACAGATGGTCGTGTAGACCTGGCGGCTGAAACCTCACTCTAGCATAAAGTAGATTCCACCTACGGCTTCGAAGAGCTGAGGCCTTCAAGCGTGGTCTCAAAGAGCTCAAGCCCTACACCATTCATGACAGGCAATCTGAACATGCCAGTTTCATTGCAATGCTGCTTTCACAGGGCTTTGCTGATCTGGGCAGTGTTTCCAAGTTTTAGGAATGTGTGGAAAGTAGTTTAGTCTGGGCAGCAGGTTCAACAGAATGATCGTACGCAAGCCTGGTTCGTTTGGCGGCATGGACTGCATTGATTTCCACATCGAGGAACTTTTGGGGCCTTCGCTACCGCAACTTCCTGGTGCTAATTCCGGAATGCGAATAAATCCTTCTATAATGCCTAAATAACATATTTCCTTACTCCTTAGCAGTAAACAATTACATGCCGGAGCGCTGCGAGGACTGCAGTGGCTGCACCTGCCTAATTTGTGAAAAATCGGCAGAGTTCCATGCAGACGTACCTGGGCTTCACTTTGGAGCAACTATCGAGGCTTCAATGCATGCTTGAAACATACAAGAGTGCAACTTCTATGGTCTGTGATGGATGCAGACTTTTGCTGCAATCTTGTTGCTGAGGGGTTGGTGGACTGCCGGATTCTGATTGGGTCATTGCCTTTCTTGCTTGGGATCCGTCGCAGCAGAAGCCGTTCAAATAAAAGTTCTCAGGCCCTGCGAAAACTCCACCTTCGTCAGGAACTGCGAGAATTGCACATTTTGGGCTTCGACCTTGGAAATCAAGTATTGAGCTTCGCAGGGGAAAGTCTAGGAACACCAATGTACCTGTGCCGACAGACCGTAGTTGCCGTGTCGCCTTCGGCAGGTTGCTACCAAGCAGTTTCGCGTTAGAGAGTGCACAAACTGCACTTTCTACTTGTTTCGTTCTCAGTGCTGAGTTAGCAAAGCTAGCAAATGAGACTGGATGTGCATGTTTGCTCGACACGGTGCCTCTTGAATCAAGCCGGACAAGGCACTGCCACACAGAGCCTATCATTGAATCGTCCAAGGCCCAGCGGCACGCACCACTCTGCAAACTGATGACTTACTTGTGCTTAAAAGGTTTGATTAAGTGGAACTGATATGAAAGTGGAGCCGTTTCCTGTTTCCCTTCAGCTTGTCAGCAAGTGCAAAGTCAAGCACATTGAGGTGCCTTGGTGCTGCCTACTGTGCTTACTTCCTTGTCCTGCCGCTACAAATTCGGATTCATGTGAGAGTCTGGACAGGACTTGCGGATGGCACCGTTCTGGGCTGCATATCCAGGTTTGCTGGGGCCCAAGGCCAGTCCAGCTGTCCAGCTCACAAGAGTTAATTCAGGGTTTAGGGCTGTGTAGTCATAATGGAAAAGGACATGGAAACTACTATTTATGGTTTAGGGGTTCCAGCCGCCTTGCCAGCAGGATGTTGAAGGGTACTCGCTTCTAGAAGCAGTCTTGAGGTCGCAGCAATTCAAAGATGCCGAGCTCTTGGTGAGCTTTTTTGGTTGGGGGACTTGCTCGTGCCAGATCTGTTGCAATTTCTAAGGCACACTTTGATGCTGGCAAGAATTTCTGGAATGCCATCTACGACTTCACGGGGAAGGCTGATGCCGTAAATTGGCAGGCCCGCGGCTGGTTTAGATTGGCGCAAAAATATTCAGCACGGGTCCGAAGTACGTGTAAGCGCCTTGGCGTGTCCGCCTCCGCTGACCGGAAGCGAGCCTGCCAATGAACTAAACTAACCCTTCAAGGCCGCCTCAGCCTTCCCCAACTTGTTCAGCTGTTGGGTCACAGTTCTCTGCAAAAAGATAGAGCAGCGAACCAAACAAAATAGCGGCAACATCTTGCCTTGCACTTGAACATGGCCAGCTGTCCTAGCAGTTGAAAATGTCACGCAGGGGGCGTCCCTCCACGCCTGGCAAAATGTTGACTACCGCGCTCAAATCAAATCAAGCATTCCAGATTTCCACGAGCTGCAGCAGAATTCTGATGATTGAAGTTGCATGTGATAAGAACGGAGCGACAAGAGCTATCCCTCTCCCTGCTCTGCAGATTCAAAACCTTGATGCGTGTGAGAAGCTGATCGTGTGCCTGGAAGGCTCCCGCTTGCAAGTTTTGTAACATTATGATGGACCCTGGCCATGCTACCCCAATGCAGGCTGCAATGACGCTCCAGATGAGCCTGCCCCAGACCTGACTCAGGCAGGATAGATTTTCCTGTGAAGCACGATTCTCGAAGCTTTGCTCTCACCTCGAAAACTAAGGCTCTGCTTTGCGCCGATCCCATGGTGAGTGGTGGGGAGCTTTTTCATAATATCGTTTGCGCCAGCCAGCTGATAGGGAGATCCAGAGGCGAGAGCCAGGGCCAGTCCATGGCCAACATCCCGCAGACCAGGCTTGCGGCAGCCTGCCCCCCTTAGCACATCTTAGCCCCAAGTGCATTGCGGTGTTTCGAAGTGTTGCCCTCTTGAGGCCGGCTCTGCCCGTGGCGCCACTTGGCAACCGGCGGCTCCATCGAATCATAAGCGACGCAGCCGGGAAGGACACCTGCAACAGCATGGATTGCATCCTGTTGACCTGCCTGATACGTTCTCTTTCGGTTGAGGATGTAAGCGGAAAGCTCGAGGAGGCCCTCCATCCCTTCCAGTCATCAGTTAGGTAGGATTTGCCTGGATACAGGACAGTTGACTGACCAAATAGGTTCAAGTGCTGTCAGTGTGTGGGGTTGATCATGTTTGATCCTAAGTCGCAATTCAAATGCAAGCTGAACATGTCAGGTAGTTCAAGAAGAGCCTCTTTTCAGCTCAGTTGTCGGGTCCTTTGTGATTGCATTTCGCTGTGGGCCACTCGCCGTGCACCGAGGCTGAAAAGTCGCACCAGGTCAAGCGGGAAGCTTGTCTTGCAAAATACATGGCGGTACGACCGCACCATGCTTTGGCAACCATTGCTTGTGAAAACCGCTGCCCATGAATCGTGCACCAGGATTCGCTATCTTCCAGTGATGAGGCTGCTGCTTTGCATGACATGCTCCATAATTGCGATATGCTCCAACAGCTGATAGCCACGACCTTGACAGGTTGAAGTCTTGGACTTGGAGGAGGAAGATGACGAAGAGAAAAATGAAGGCCCCCAGACGAGGACTTGTAGCAGCACAGCGTCCATGTGCAAAAGCCTTGTCTCAACAATCCCTGCAGGACATCTTCAGCACGAGCCACTGACTGGCGACTAGGCCATGTAATTTTGGCCAGTCTGCCTGTCAGCATTCGCCTAGAGACAGTTTTGCAACGTTGCCAGTAGTTCAGATTTTTCAACTCTCAGCGGGCAACAGGTGCATATGCATCCTCATCTTCCCGGTCTACACAACAAAGGGCAAGAAGCTTGGAGCACGCTTCTGTAAGACCTGCACGGCTTTGCAACAGAGCTTCAGGCTCGGGCCGCCATGGCAGCTGCAGCGGAAGCTTCCCTGGCCCCTCTGCAGAGAGGCTCAGCTCCTGCCTTGAGTTCGGCTACAGCAGAGATGATCTGCAAATTCGGCTTCTTCCTTCCCTTGAATTTTCAGCTCTGGAATTTGGCAATATGCTGGTCAATGTAGCGAAGGCACTTAGGCGCACGTGCCTGCCAATTGATGAATGCAGTATGAATGCTTGATTGCAACCAGCTACTTGAAGCTTAGGAGGTTATGTCCTGCGCAGACCCCCAAGCAGCTCTGCAGGGACAAATCCAGGAACTATGGCAGCAAAAAGGCCTTTGGGTGGTCTCAGGCCAGAAAATGGAAACCGGTTTTGCAGTCGTCATCATTGCGTTATGGTTGTGTCATTCCTTGTGCTTGTTGTTGCTGCCTCCCTTGTTGGTGCTGTTGCCTGCAACGCCTCATGTGGGCAGTGCAAGGCTGTCCATGCCGTCTGCTCCGAGAAACCCGAAGACAGAAGATGCGAAGGTGCCGGAAACGGATTGCTGAAGGTCACTACATGTCTGGATGTAGGAAGCAGAAGCATACAAGGACCCAAAATCACTTGCAAGGCTATGCAAACATGTA